AAGATGCCTATTTTGATCCTATTTAGCAGTAGAAGGAGGCCAAACACCTATAGGCATTTTCAGGACAGTCTTGAAGTGTTCTGGTTTCTGAAGCAGAGGGAATGGCCAGCCCAACTGGTCGCACACCTCGACCGGTCCTTTCGGGTCCACGCCGGTCGGAGTGGAGTGCAGAGACGGAAGGAACCCAGTCGTCAGACCCCTGTTTTTGGGGTCCAATTCAGGTCCTGAAGAGGTCCTTTCAGCTTCAAAGCAAACAGCTATGGAGAGCTAGGGTAGGGCCGCCTGGGTGGGCCACGCGGAACGGACGGACGGACGGGCGGTTCTGACCGGTCGCGTGGCGTCCAGACGACCCAGTCGTTGCCCGTCCCTCGGTCCAGCCTCCAGCCATCTCCAATGCCCGGACTCGGCCTGGATCGGTGCACCGGTGCGTGGCGTTCGCATGGATTCCGAAGCGGTCAGTTTGGTGCCTTCGGAGTCTTGGAGCTCCACGGACAGCGGTGCAAACGGGGCCCTGACAGCCTCGGAGCCTCCGAAGATGGAACTCCGCGGCACCGGCTGCGGGCGCGACACACCACGAAGGAACGCAGCAGGTACTCCGCTAGGCTGGAGAGATGGAAGGACCTGTGAAACGGAAGGATGCCAGTGCCCGGACCTTCCCAAGCAAAGAAACAGCTACGTTCCATACCATCCAAGACCATGTGGACACCCGTCCGCCTCCCGAAATCACAGCCTTTTGAAAGACATGTTTTTGGATCGCGATCGAATCTTGCAGACCTCTCACACGAACAGAATCCTTTTTGAGCATTCGTTTCCGATGCCAAGAGCATGGCGCAAGGTCGCCTGGGTCGCAAGCGGCTTGCAATTCTCGCTTGGGTTTGGACGACTTTGGCTTTGGCTTCGTTGTTTTGGTGCTTCTTGCCGTTGTCTGTGTGGTGCTATATCTACCGAATCTACCTGCTGCCGTCGACGTGCTTCGGCGTTCACGCGGCCGTTTCCCGGTCCCAACGCCGGGATTGCGTGACGGGTCAGGTCACGGGTTCGGGTCCTTGTGGCGTGAAGAAGGACAACAAGATGTGATGTGAGTGGTTCGTGTGGGGACAGTGTGATGCCGACATGTGATGCCGACGGTTTTGATCGGTTTTGGTTGGCGCGTGGTGATGTACATGATTTGGTGAAGCTTCATGTGTTGATGTGTTGGCCTTTGGTAGATATGGGTAGCTCAAACCCAGACAACGACCCCCAGGCCCTGGAGGAAGGGAAGAAGGGGGGTCTCCCTATTATTAAATGAACACCCCCATATGTCATAAAGTGGGAATGTGCGAGGTGATCAAGTCTGGTGCGAGGGTATCTCTAGATGTGGCTGGGTCAACTGGTCAATTTCCCGAACCTGGCAGGGTGTCTTTCACTGGGGGGTCTACCCACTTTAGATTCGAATACACATCCATATGATGCTTGCTGATGACTGTCTTTGCCGGTGTCGTGTTGCTTCATTTGACACGTCGTCTTCGGGCGTCTCGGCCGCCGCCGCCCCGCTCAGAGCGGCCCTGGCGTACATCGTTTGCCGAAACGAGCCGACGGGCGAAAGCGAAAGCGAAACACATGACATTCGGTGTTCTTGTGCCAGCAGTCACAAGACGGGGTGCCGAACTTGGAGGAAGTCGGGGTGCCCAAAACATCCACTCACTGGGACTAAAACCACCCCGTCTTGTGACCCCTGGTGGATGTTTCTTTTTTTTTTCCTGTTCTTGTGGAAAGTAGTCTTACGAACACAAAAACCATGGCTTATGTGTTCGGAAAAGAGTGTCCAGCGTTTTGGGTCACTGGGCCCGCAGGTTGCTGTGCCGGAGTCTTCACCAGGTTCAGCAAGAACCGGAGTCTCTGGTCACCAGGGTGGACAAGAAGAGAGATCGATATGAGATGATTATGCAACTCAAGGACTTTTGAACCGTTGATTTTGGTTCATGTCCTGGACTCTTTTCCATTGGATGCTGAAGCGTTTTCTGGACGAATCAAAGTAGATTGTCCTTGCAGCTTCCATTGGCAATTTTGGACTCGGCTGAATTTGAAGATCTGGACCTGCTTGGCCTGGCGTGAAACGCCCTGCCGAACCAAGGGGCGCGTTGGGTAGAGAAAGGCCATGCAAGGTCCACCTCACAGCCAGTCTTTGCACTCTTTGAGTAGCCGTGTTAGAGCAATATAGGTGTCCTTCTCCTTTTGGTTGGAACATCGAACGGAGGTGTCCAAAATCATCGAACGGAGGGGTGAATGCCCAACGATTTTCTGCCAAAAGGACAGCTGTGACCCAGCACACATTTGTGCTCACCATCTCCACCTGGCGATTGGCATGAGGCCATCGCTGGGAGTGAGCTATCGCTATGCGCGCCTCCATGCCACCAAAAATGGCAATGTACAAACGGAAATCCAGTGACCAGGGTTCCAAAGGTTTAGTTCAGTCGTTTTTTTAATCGATAACGAATGAGAAACAACTGCCACCAAAACATTCTAAAGTTCTAAAGAGAACGAAATGGACTTATCAAGCACCCTTGCATAATCAAAGGATTCAAACATAAACGACTGTTGAGTCGAGGTCCATTTTTTGTCACTATTGATGTGCTTGAAGTTGTTGTGTAGTCTACTGCTTGCTCTTCGACTGTGCGGAGTTGCGTGAGTTGGTTGGTTTTTTCGTAACGGTTCGCAGCCGACTCCCCCAGCCAAAGACCTGAACAAGGCCCGGACATGGGGGGAGGGACACACACTTGGACAGAGTTTCATCCGATAATCTACAAGGAACAGGGTGGGACACACACAACACACACACACACTTATAGAAATGCGTACTGATGCGAATACGGTGCCACACGCCAGCCTAAGTAAAACCGCCTAAGGTTCCAGGTAGTGAGTTTGAGGCCTCCCAAACCTATAAACACGAGGGCGAACGGCGGCGACAGGGTGACGGCGGGTTGTGCAAGTCTGAGCTCAAAAGGTCCAAACACTCCAAGGCGAATCGCCGCTGCATTAGACGCTTACTGCACAACAAAGAATGAGACAGCTTTGCACTTACGTAGGTTCTTCTCAAAGCAGGTACGTCAATCCAGCGTCCCGGATTGATTTCACAGGTGCAGCACTGGCGTCTTCGTTGGTGCCAGTCCAGTGTGCATCCCTGGCACCCCCTGCTTAACAAAGGGAAAAACAAAAGCAACACAATCCAAGTGGATCCCTGTGACTTCAAGGGGCACACGCACACACACACACACACACACACTTCGACATTGGTTTTCAGTTACACTCAGTTACCACGATGGGAAGGAAGGTGAGGGAACGGAAAGGTGCATGAGTCCGCAAAAAACCGTATTGTTGAACAATGTTTGCAGTTGCGCTCGAAAACGCTCTGACACTCAAAGTCGGCTGCAAAACGTCGCAAAGTGGCGGTGGGTTTGTGGGAGGTATCATGAACAACCATGGAAGCAAAAAAGAAGATTGGAACAGCTTGAGCAAAAGTTGGTCGCAGGTACACGGAGGTGATCAAACTCCGCATCCCCCATCGTGGAACAGCTTCGTTGGCACAGGTATCCACGATGGGCCTGTGCCCCCTGCTTCAGTGGAAAAAGGTGGGAACATGGAAAACCCTTAGAAACAGGGTGTGACACACACACACACACACACACGCCTGAATAAGGACACGGAAGAAAAGTGGGACGGCGCCGGCCCACCTTTTTGGGGAAGGAGATTCTTTCGTTCATCGACGGCACCTCCCAAGAGCGGCAAAGTTGCATGACCTCCAAAGCGGAAGGCGGCAGGGTCCGGTTGAATCTGGGCTTCATCCAGGGGAGGAAGGGGAGATCCTGGCGTGGTTTGCCTGCGATATACTGCGACGACCAACTGGATCAAGAACGGATCAACCCCTGGCATTCGATCAGCACAAGACCTATGGCAACCTGGAACAGCGTGACAGGCTTTGAATCAGGCTGGCAACTGGGAACATCTTTGGCAATGAGTTTAGGACAAATTTGTCAAGCAAAGAAGGAAGTACAGTAATCCAAGATACCGCGCGTGAGCAGCAATCCAAACATGAAGTGGATTCTTTCAATCTAGATGAAGCGAAGAAGGCATACAGCGGCATACAGCACACTTGAATATAGTGACTGAAGAGGAAAGTGACACAAATTGATGCACCCCAACCAGAGGTAGCAGGTAAGTAGTTTGCGAACGTTTGGCCTAATTTTCGGCCCGCGCGTCACTGGTGGAGGCCCACCAATAAATTCTTCAGGTCGGAGACCGTCGTTTGGGGCTCAATCCGAAGCTCCACATCGGAGCAGTCGATCAGAAGCTCTGAATCCGTCGATCAGAAACCCGAACGGTCGAACGCCTCGAGGAGGCGTGGCACAGAAAAGGGAGCAGTGAACCGTTGAGTGTATCAACAAATGGATGAAATCTGGATAACCCGTGCTCCAAGGTGGTGTTGGTTCACGTCTTGGTTCACTGACCCTGCGCGACCCTCGAGGAAGACCTGCAGACCTGGATAATAGATAAAACACCAAGGGCGGTGGTGCTCGTCCGTGCGGCGGCTATATGCCTTTCATAGTGCCTTTCATTATATGCCTTTCTTTGTTGGAGGACATGGGTTGAGGAGTCCTCAGCACTTTGGGTCAGTGTGCAAGGGGACACCCACGGGCCACGGGCCGAATTGGCATCCAAAGCATGCTGGAGGAGCAAACTAACACTTAATTTTGAAGAGTGAATAGATCATGTGCTATCCAAAATGGTTTCGTGCCTGCACTGAAGCTGTGAACGCAACAGACCATGAACGCCTAGAGGCCAATGCCAACCTTTGGAACCCTACCAACTAGGTCTATGGCCTGACCCAGTGGATCCCAGCTACCTTAGAAGGAACCAGCTTTTGGTCTTTAGGAACTGGTGACCTTCTCTACTCTGCTGGTCTCTGGATCCACTGGACTCGAAGGAGGCCCCCTGCACTGAGTCGAACCTGCTTTCCGCCTGAGGTCTCGTCCTCCATGGTGGCCTGCTACGATGTTGGGCAGACGACCCGAGCCGGTCGCTCCAGGCAGAGCTGGCGGAGCGTTTATGCGTCGGTCTCAGCGAGCGTCGTTTGAACAGCGGCGTAGACGGAGGATTCCTCCTTTCAGGGTCGGAACGCCTGGGAGGTCTCCCTATTTTTATTCAGACCCATATGACATGAGTGTGTTCGAATACGATTTGAAGTCCGGTGTTGGGCCGCCCAGGGCCTTCTGGGCGGCTTCTGCTGCATCCAATGGTCCAAGATCTCAGCAGAAGTCCCCCCGAACTGGCGTACTGGCTGCAGTGCACTTGCCAAAGCCCTCGCTTGGTCACCTGTCTTACAGCCCAGCGAGGTTTTGGTCACCCCCTCTGAGCTTCAGCATCGATGCCAGCATCGTGTAGCCGAGACACAAGGTGTGCAGCTTCGCTATGGCTGTTCTTGGTCGGGTGGACACCCATGAACCACCCATGAACACCCAGGTCCCAGAAAGGAAGAGAATAGACTAGACTACAGCCAGGAGGTCGACCTACCTGGGCTAAGCGCTCCGGGTTTGGAGTGGCACGGCCTGTTGGTGGATTCTGTCTAGCCATTCTGCAGCTGTTTAGACCAGTCGCAGATCCCAGCGGCCAAGTGATCATGCTCCACTGGTGGCAAGGCCGCCTGCTTTTGATGCGGGCATGTTGGGTTGGAAAAGACGGGGTTGACCAAACGGGGCTTGTTGGTAGGCTTGTTGGTAGGCTGTTTTGAGCATTCTTTGGATTTCCTTGGTGGATTTTTACGACCTAGGTGAGCCCCAGGGAGTGGCTGGTCTCGGGTGTGAGGCTTCCAACAAGGTGAGCCGGAGAACCCCAAAGCAGAGCCCAGGGGCGCCCTGCTTGTTCGTGGCTGAGTGGGGGCTCCAATCTGCGTGCTGGTGCCGACGGGAGTACGTTTCGCAGAACGTCCAAACCAAAAGAAGAATCTCGCGGCCCACGCCCGCCCCGCACGGCATCCGAAGTGTTTCCTCATTCCGGGACCCTAGAACCAACCAGAACCCACTGACCAGAGATGCCCTTGCTAGCTAGCATACTCACGGACCGGGTGAGGTGCAAAGTGCGGACTCGACCGATCGATACCGTGTGGAGGACAGGGTCGGATGAAGACGTGTTCATACATGGATCATCTTCGCCTTTCACCCTTCAAGATCGCTCCTTTGCCTGGTGAGTAGTCGCTCGTCGACGTCTTCCCTAATCACAGATGACGTCTTCATCGACCGATCCCGGGAGCCGACATCGATGATGTCTGAACCCCTTCAAACATGACCATGTGTGCCTGGAGGGTGTGTATTTCAATAGGGAGACTCCCCCACCTCTCTTCTCGCCCAGCTAGGACGTCGACCGAGCTCCAGGGGTCTCCCGAACCATTCATCCAGGGGGGTTGGAACGCCGCGCCTGCCAATTCTTACTATTTTTCAAACACCCCTTTCTTCACCCCAGAAGTGTCCGAACCATCGCAGAAAAACGGGACTCGGATCCTTTCGGTGGCTCTGCGGGGATGTGAACATCTGGCTGGCAGTGAAGAGACTCTCTGGAGGTAGATGACTCCACAGGTAGTTTTTACATCTTTTTACTTACGAAAAAGGAACCATGCTGAATCTTTTCTTTCGGGAAACGCGTTTCAATCAATCCCATTGGGATTGACGATCCAATCCGATGCGATGTCCAAGCAGCCCGGAGGCTGCTGCGTGCCGAGCCACACCCATGAGCACCTTCACATACAGCCGATGTCCAGTTGCTGGGCTCATGTCCAGTTGCTGGGACCCTTTGGGTGGGGGCCCGCAGACTCATGAATGAAAGAACATGGAGCATCACTATATAGGGCCGGGCCTGTTGACCCTATGATCATTTTTTGGGTTGGGAGGGGTGGCAGATGGAAAGACAAAGCTGTGGCTTTGATTCACCTGCAGCTGCCGCGCCTTCAACGTGGCAGCTGCCACCTACAAGTCTCTGTTGTGACTTGTCGATGTGCGGGGTCTTAAGCACCAAATATTTCGCAGTGGGGAACATTCTTCCTGCCAAGAATCCTGTGTTGGGATCGTCTTTGCATAGATTCATAGATTCCTTGTGTTTTTTTCTCCAAAGACGCCGGCCAGTTGGCCAGTTGGCCACGCTGGTTTTTTTGAGAATTCTCCAGCCTTTGGTTTGGTACGGTTGACCCGTACGCCACGAGCTCCAGTTGGTGCGAGGGGTCACAGAAGACGATTCAGAAAATCGCTCCGATTCCGAAACTACGAGACAGAAACTTGCGATCCGGGAAACTACAGGCTGTCCCGATTCAGAAACTCCCTCGATTCAGAAACTGGCCGATTCAGAAACTATCCGATTCAGAAACTGGGGGGTGGGGGATGAATCCTAGTTTCCGAATCCGCGGTTTCTGAATGGTGCGAGTTCTGTTCTTCTCACTCCTCCATCAGCAGCAGGACCAAACTCCTGTTCCCCCAGCAGTTCCATCAAGAAAAGCACTCGGTTCTCGCAGCTGGCGAAGCCCTGTGCAGGGCTTCCCTCGTCGCTGCACGAGCTGGTGGCCGGTGACACCATCCTCTTTTGGCCTCACCGCGACGATTGGAAGTTGCAGCCGCTGCGTCACGCAGTCAGTTGGGGTGATTACCCTCCCACAAACTTACATGGAACCTGAGACTGGACCCGTGCAAGACCATCTTCCAATCAAGTGGGTGTGGGGGTTCCATGTTAATCTGCAGAGGAGTATGCATTGAGGAATCCTGGTAGAACATGGACTTGACTCACCAAGCAGGATTTGTGTGAGCAGTCGTCCTCCAGCGGATTTTCACCGATCAGGACCTATCAATGTCAATTGGGATCATGTTTGATGGTTCAGGATGTTGACTGGACCTACATGTCGATGTAGAACTGAAATCTGATAGGCTCCTAAGACTTGGGTGAACGGAACATCACCCAAATCGCCCAAATCGCCCTAATCCGATGCTGTCCACAGGCGTCAAACCCGGCTCTCCAAACAAGATGGAGCTGCCTCTCACCACCGGTTTCATCGATAGAGAAATCGACCTTGTCCATCCTTGTTTCCGTCCAAAGCAAACACATTCAACATCAACGCTTTCATGCCTGGACCTTCCTGTCGGGGTGCCCAATGGAGAAAATCGCAGTGTAGGGGCGAAACCAGCCAGGTGACCCCGACATGAAGGTGCTCGTGTGTGATGTTTCAAAAACAACTTTCACCTGCTCCCACAGGTATGGAGGCGACTGGAAGATTGGTGAAGAGCTCACCGTCGAAAAGGCGGAAAGCTCCTCCTGCCGTGCAAAGGATGGGCGAGGAGGTGCCACCCAGACACCGCTGTCGTGTGGGTGTTGGAGACAGCCAAAAAAGCGGCTCGCAGGGGGCGGGCGGTTGGGCACAAAAGGGGTTGGCTGGGCGGTTGCATTGCTCATGTGGAATGCCGAATTCAACACCCGACTTTGCTCGATCCAGCTCGCTGAGGTTGACCCCTCAGGGTCACCTACCGGGACGTTTTTTTTTTTTTTTTCCGATGCTCTTTCAGTCTTTCAGATCGGATGTGACGTGGGGGTACAGATATCCTTGAGATTCCTTGAGCCTCTAACTCTCAGCAGCCCTGATCATATCAAGAAAATGCGCGGTGTGACAAAAGCTATCACTTTGAGTGACTCTTAAACCAAAGGCATGTTGCAGTGCGGACAAAGGCAGTTTTCTTACGCCCATGAGACATGTGGGAGAGATTCCATTCAAAGCTTGATCTATAGAAGTGGGGGTGTATTCGAAAAGGGAGACTCGGGGAGACCTCCCAGATCGAAGAAAGGAATTAGACCAGTCTACCCATTGGTTGGAGGTCTTCCTATTGAAGTACAAACCCGTTTCGTGCTTCACGGTCTTCCATGTGTTCATCGCGCTTGAACTAAACGTTCCACGAGACGAGGCTGCGCAAGGCTGCTTGGTCCCGGTCCCGGAAAGAGTACCAAGAATGAGAGGAACACCTGGCCTGCGTGGCGACTCTGACAACTCAGGGTACCTCTTAATGAACGTGATTATGTGAATGACGAAGTCAAGACTTGAAAAAGCGCACATTTGTCTCTTGAAATTGCGAACAATGACACGCCAATTGGGACAAATACACGACCTGTCCAGGGAAATCCTGGCATGGAGAGGGGGGGCCTCATGCCCCATCTCCTCCACCTAGCCAACCGGCTTTTCGGCCTTCAGAGCCAAAGCCGACCATGGCGGCTCGGCCAGACGGCGCAACTCTCCATGTTTGGTCCAGATGATTGATGAATCCAATGAATCCAATGTTTGGTCCAGAGGATCCAAGATAGGAAGACCCCTGCTGGTCTATTTCCCCGAAGCTTCCGTCTGCGCCTTGCAGGCCTTGCAGTGCTCCCCTGGACGGATGTGGCCTTACCGATGACGTGTCCAGGCATAGAACGGCGCCGTTCTGGCACCGTTGTGGCAAGGTGAAACCAGAGGTGGAAAAAACCATTGGGGCACGTGGTTGACGGAAAACCTCGTCGTAGACCATCCCGATTCTTTCAGAAGGAACATCCTCAGTCGCCCTCCTTGTTTGACCAATCTCTCGAAGAAGACGTGGTCGCCATTTTTCGAGGCGTCGGGGGGGGGCTTCAGGAGAGAAACTGAGCGGTCGCTGGAATTGGTCTATGGACGTTTCTTTTTGTTTGTGTCCGATTTGTATCATGACTTTTGGTATCATGATATTTTTAGTATCGGGATTCAGGATTTTTCGTTTCTTTAGAACGTAACTCAACATCTTTGTAGTGCACAACCCTTGTGTTGGCTGCATAATGTAAATAGCTTTTGGAGGCATTTGAACAGCTCCTGGTGGTGGTTTTCTCGGACGCCATGTCGATCGTGGGTTCTTATCGCCTGGTCCCTGGTCAACTGGACGGAGAAAAGCTGCAGGTGTGACTGGAAGGCCCTCTGCCATGTCTTTGTGTTTGGAGGAAACTTCTCCCAAGAAGAACACTTTCCATATTACTTTTCTTAGACATGGACGCCATGACTTG